TAGATCCTGTACTTGCTAGTGTTATATCTGTGTTTCTCATTTATGGGATGCTAGACATGTCCATTGCTGGTGATAAAAAAGCAGTCGATTTCTGTATATTAACTTCATATCCTGTACTGTTGATATTAGTTCAGGAGTTGTGTTTTTTGGGTGTTTCTTTTGGTCCATCCTTTCAGATTTTCTACAGTCATGTTGTCTGTGAACGAAGATGGTTTTACATCTTCTCTGTCTTTACCTCCTACTTTTTCAGATTTGTCTAATTTTAATCATTTCCCTATTCTGTTTTCAAGTTATATTTCAATAATTTATTCCACATGCAATGTTTCATCAGAAGTACCTCTCTCCTTTAGTGAGAAGACATGTTTCTATTTTATAGTAAAATATTCTTCAATATTAATAACATGTTTTCTTAGTAAGCTAGGGCAGTAAGACTTCAAAGAACAGAATGAAATTAACAAAAGTTTTATTTTTAAAAACCAAAAAATTATGAAAAAAATCACATACCATGTGACATAGATGTTGAAACTCAAATTTTGACTGAATTAATATGATTCTTCAAAACGACCTAGTTTCCAACTGTGTTTATTTTAGCCCAAATGCCCAGAGGAAACACAGACATTTACTCAGTCCTGACACAGGTACTTGGTGGGGCACAGACTAGTGCCCACCTCCGGCACGGGCGTGGAGTGGGACAGCTGGTTGTCTCACCTGGTCTGGGTCAGGTCCTGGAAGTGTCCACCGTTATTTCCTGCCCTGATGACGGTGTCAACATCCCTGCCTGGAGGGGCTGCACTGGAGAATTAAAGAAGACATCTCGTGGACTCAGGACAGCACCAGGGTCCTGGCCGGCTCTCTGAGATGTTACCGTTATTATTACCACTTGCTCCTGATCTTACGGGAATTACCACACCTCTTTGATTTTCTTCCCCACTGTCGGAGCAGCCCAGGTGTACCTTCCCTCGGTCAGAGCAGCTTTCTCCATCGCTCAAAACTCCTGCAGGGCTCCCCTCTCACCGGGGGAGACCCCGGGCGGACCACACCCCACGCTGGCCCTTTCTGACTTCCTCCCCTCCTGTGGACTCATGCCCTGCCAGCCACGCTGGTCTCCTCACTGCTTAACAGGGACAGGCCCACCCTGGGGGCTCCCTCTCCCTGACATCCTCGATGGGGGCTGTCCTCCGGCGTCACCTCCTCAGAGACGCCTCTCCCCACCTCGCACGAGAGCGCCCTTCCGACCCTCTCCACTCCCTTCATCCACCACATTTTTTGCCAGAGGATGCACACTTCCTAGTTATTTGTTTCTTTATCTTCTTCCCAAGCAGAATGAGATTCATCTGGGAGGACACTGTTTCCTGTTCCATTTCCTGCCACAGCCCAGCACCCAGAATCATGCCTGGCACACGGGAGGGACTCACTGTTTGCTTCTGCACTTAACTGACTGTATGATGAATTGTGGAGAATATCCGTATTTTTCTTCTAGGTCCGGTAACTTCATCTCATGTGATTGTTAGGAGGCATGAGTGATCCTCATTACAGGAACATACACTACATGACACGTGACCTTAGGTCACACATGGGTACCATGGGGCCCAGGAACAGCCTGCACAGTGCTCTTACTCAATGTTTACAAAATAACATGACACATCCATTCACAATTTTATACGGTGCAGTCTCTTCCTGTGCAGGACTTCATGCCCCTCCAAGCTTGGCTTCTGGAACACGCTGTTCCGTCAGGGTGGTGGGGAGCCCGTCAGAAATGTGGGTCTCGGCCTTCACCCCAGGACGACAGGCCAGGCCCTCAGGGGACTCTGGTGGGCACCGAGGCCTGAGACCCCTGCTCCAAGGAATACTTCCAGGGCTCCTTCCAGTTCGCTGACCTCCCCTTGTGAATCATTCCACAGCCCACCCGGCAGCCCAAGTGCAACTAGCATACTTAGCATGTTTGCCTATTGAGGTGACCGTGACGTTGACTCGCACTGGCCAGAGGTCTTTTTTGTCGAACAGTGCCCGGAAGGCCCCTTCACGGGTGTTCGATGCTCTGATTGGTTGCCACCGCTCTGGCCCTAGCCTGGCATCTCTGCTTTCGAGACATTCCACCTCTGTCACCTACATCCACCCGGCAACACAGAAACAGGGGTTGTTTCTCTTAAAACCCCCTCATTTGGGTTTTTTTTTTCCCCCAGATGAAATGCATTGTTGGTGCACAGTGTGTAAAGCTGGTGAACAGGAGGCTGCTCTGGCCCGGTGGGTCCACCCTGTCTGTTCACCCTGCCCCGGGCCTGCCTTCCTCCTCCCACCTGGCCGAGGACAGCAGGCAGGGGGCACCCACTGCTGTCAGCTTATAAAACCTTTGCCTAGAGAAGGGCTCCTCGGGCCGACGGCACCAGGACCACCGGGCCTCCTCCCGCAGCCACGGAGTCGGATTCCCGGTCTGGCGTGTGCACGCTCTGGCACTGGCGGGTAGCCCTGCACACCAGCGTCCAGGCTGCACACCAGTGTCCAGGCATCACCGCCGTGGGAACGCGGGCCTGTCGTCCTGTTGGAGGGAAGGAATCACAGGTGCGGGGTTTGTGCCCAGGGTCATTCCTCATCACCCCCACCACAGTGTTACACTCAGTCACCAAACACACGGAGACATTTTTTAAAGGTAAAGTCTCGTTTTTTTCTAAATAATTTTCATTAAAGCTTTTGTTCTAACAATTAAATACACAGAAATCCTGATAAATGGCTTTACTGCACTTATCATTTTAAGTAATTTAGTAAACACTCATCACCGCTTTTTTAGGAGAGTTTGGGGAAAACGCCAGTAAATTGGACAAATGTCCTGCCCTCAGCGCATGGGTGCAGAAGAGTGTGAGGTGGTGCCGAGAGGTGGAGAGTTCCGAACAATTAAGCTTTCAGTTTCATTCGGGATCGAGCCTTAGAGGGTAAAGCACCTCCTCTCCCGGCCCCGCCAGAGGCCACATTAGTGACGCCTGGCTCAGCAGGTGGGGACCAGGCCAGCTCACGCCTGCCGGGGCGGGGGGAGCGGTGAGATGCACATGCGATGCCAGTCCTGCTGGCCACCAGGTACACCGGCCAGTCCCAGGCCCTCAAAATACACAGAGCGAGAAACAGGGCGGGGGGCCTGAGAGGAAGGGGTGGGGGTGCAGGGGGACCTGCGTGGGAGGGAAGGCTGGGCTGTCCTGTCACAGTGTGCGTGGGCGCTGACCGCTCTGAGCCCGGCCGCAGGCTCTCTCGGCGGTCTCGTCCAGGCTGTGCGCTCGTGCGTCCGAGAGCTCGTCCCAGCCGGAAACCCCGGCCGCTCTCTCGGAAAGGGCCTCTCCTTTCTGCTCTGTGTTCTCCATCAGATGTGAGGTTTCCCGCCGTGCGTGTGCTCTGCCACCTGATTCCAAAGTTCTACTCCCTTTGTCCTACTCTACAAAGTCCTATGAAACTGTTTTCATAATTAGCCTGTGTCCCACCATGGGCCGTGGCCCCCCGTCTGTGCCCCAGCTCCCTAACTGTCCCCTCTGCACCCCTGAACTTGGGTTCTTACCCGCCCACTGAATATCTGCCCAGCTGTTTTAAGTTCCAATAGCTGAAATTATGTTCTACCCAGTAGCTGCCTTTCTCTGTTATGTCCATTTTAGGTTTCATTTTTTTTCTATTTTGCTTTAATCAACATAAAACATATGTGTTGCACATTCTGCTTCAAATTGCCACTTTATTTTCTCAAGTCTGGGGGGAACGAACCTTCCTGTTTAGGCACACGCTCACCTCCACTCCAGGAGGAAGGTGCTTTGTTTGACTCACAGCGTTAACACCAAGTCCTTCCGTGGGGCTCGTCTGTCCTGGGACATCAGCGCCCCGCCACCTGGGTGCTCCCCGAGGGCGCTTTCCTGCCCCCTGCTCTGCTAGGAACATCGGGTCTGACGTTTACGCTCATTTCCCATTCTGGACCACACAGGTACTGCAGAGGGTTAGATCCACTTCATCCCCCCTGTTTCTTGCATGTTTACCCCACTTCTCCAGTGTGTTTTTCTGTCTCCTAGGCGCCCTCTGCCCGGGACCGGCAGCCTTGCTCCCTCTGTGGCCACCTCCAGCCCCCGGGACATCAGCTCCGCCCTCAGACCCCAGGTTTGTCTGCCCCTCCTTTTCAACACCTCTGTGCTGTTCCACTTTCCCCTTGTCCCTGGAAATAAGTGCTCCCTCTTGGGGGCCAATTTTACTGTGTTTTTTAAATTTAGGGAGTTTGACAGGCTCTTCATATCAGTTTATGTCTCCCACTGGCTGGTTCCAAACTCCTGGGCCCTGTGGGAGTCGTCCTCTCCCGGAACCACCTGGGACGCCACTTAGCGTACGTGGAGAGAAGTAAACGCCAAAAATCACCCCGTTAAACCTTCAACTCCTTAGGCTGGAGAATAAAGGACTAAAGAAAACATACTAATACTGTCAAAATAACAAAGGGACCTCTGTCCGTGCCAAAGAAAATGCGTTTGTGCATTTGTGAAATGGGTTGTAGCGTAGAGAGAAGGAAGACGCTTTCACGGAGAGGGTGTTACTGACGCTGTAACGCTTTGGCCTAGAACCTGTGAATGAGGGAATTACCTCTAAAGTTCTTGTTCTGCTTTTTAAAAGTTCTCTACATCATCGGAAACATAATCAACCAAATGTTTTTTAGTTAATCAAGAAAGAGGAGGAAAGAAAGACAACACTGAGGGGGACATTGTGCACCCGAATCCTGTATCTGACCCCCACGCAAAGCATCTCACATCCCCACCAACCCCAGCTCCTCCATCAACAACAAAACACTGTCCTCGTGGTCACGACGCCGTGTCCACTCTGTACATTCCCTCTCAACACGAAAAGCCCCAGTTTGACATCCACACCCTCTCCTCCTAGTGCTGTCCCCTCCCATGACTGGAGCGCATCGTGACCGACGGTGACACAGACAGCCCTTCTCTGTGGAGACGTTACCCACAAGTGCCCACTGCCTGCAGCGGGGGCCTCATGCTTACCTGCGTGTCCGCCTGGCGGGGCGCTGTTCCTGCTGTCTTCATCCAGAATGGCGGCCAGACCCACCGAGTTGGTCGGGAGGACAGAGCCACTGAAGTCCACGCGAGTTAGGCTCTCGGGCTCCCTCCGAAAGGCCCCCACGGTGCTCCAGGGACGGTCCCTGCCAGTGGAGGCCATTTCCTGGCCTTCTCTCCCGGGTCTCAGCACAATGTGGACGATGCTCTGCTGGTCCAGGTCGCAGCTCTGAGCGGGGACAGAGGACAGACACACAGTCAAGAGCCGGTGTTAAAATGCCGAGTGACGTTGAACTTGCCTGACCTTCTAGAGTGTGCTAGGAAGTCTAAAGTCTGCTTCTATATGATGTCTGCAGGCAGCATGGACGGGGGACAGCAACCTGTGTGATGGGTCACACTCACCTGCAGGAGGGCCACCGCACCCACACGTGTGCCTGTTCCACAAATGGCCCTGAGCTGCACCATGCACCAGAGGATATAGACGGGGGGGGGGGGGGGGGGGGACTACGACGCCATCACAGAAACCAAAGTGACGTCCAGAGAGACATGAGCCCTAGTCGACAAACACACGCCCTGACTGCACTAGGAGGTGGTGCTCGGTTAGGAAGGACTGACTTCCGAAGTGGCAGGACCTGGGGGTTACCAGCCTGCATCCTGGCCTTCGCCTTGGCTTTAAAAAGCACAGAGTTGGTTAGCAACGAGCACCGGGCATTTTTCTCTAGAATTTATGATAGAAGTGCTGACGGCGAACTCCACACACCCCCCACATCACAGCAAGCACATCGTCACCCCAAGGGGAACCTCAGGAGTCAGGCCCACTTTATCTGGTTTCACAGCCGGAAATGGGACCATGTGCAGATATGTTCTGCATCCCTGTATTGATGTGCATGAACAGGAGATGCTCGAGGTGGGTGGGATTAAGATTAGAAGTCAGAGTATTCGCTGGGACGAAACTGGACTTCTTTAAATGAAGGCCCAGTTTCAGACTGTCTACCAGACAGAAAGTGTCCCTCACCTGTGTGTCCCCGCCCCCTACAAACCCTCAGCGTCAATGTCTTCAAATCACTTGTTCCCCTTCTCTCTCATCTTAGGAATGTTCAAAGAACACCCACGCAAAATGCAGTGATGGTTTTAGAAGCGATGAACTCGGCCTTCTGCACCCCAGACAGCACTCCCCGGCCTTCACTCTCATGCCTCCAAGAGTGGTCCCAGCCCTCAGAGGCACTGCCTGCTGCCCACCTCGTCTGCTCTAGGGGTCACCAGGATGTCTCTGGTCCTAAATGCCATTCCACACAGCAGGCAGCATTTCTGGGGGCCGGGAAGCAGACACAGAGGCTGACAGCTCGAGCCCATGGAGAGTGTATTAAGGGAACTTACAAACGAGACGAGTCTTGGACACTGGTGAGACAACATGGGTTTCCTCTGCCCTCTGTGGTGGGCACTAAAGAATTACATAGAACAGCCCTGGCTGCTGTGGCTCAGTGGATTTAGCACTGGCCCGCAAACCAAAGGGTCACTGGTTTGATTCCCAGTCCGGGCACATGCTTGGGTTGCAGGCCAGGTCCCCAGTTGGGACCACATGAGAGGCAACCACACATTGATGTTTCTCTCCTTCTCTCCATCCCTTCCCCTCTCTCTAAAAATAAATAAATAAAATTTAAAAAAGGAATTACATAGAACAGGGAGGATGGAGGGGCACCGAGGTATGACTCACCCCGGACAGGGGCCAACGCCTGTCAGGCTGGCCTGGGGCAGGGAAATGGTGCGTCTGGGAGCCAGCACACGGGAGTCACTCGGACGCCCCGGTTCTGGGTTTATAGGAGGCCATCTCTGCTCTGAGCTCCAGGGTCGGCACTCTGCTTCTCTGCCTTTCTCCTCTTCCGAACACCTGCCTCGGGCCGCAGAGCCCCAAGCCTGGGTGGACACAGTGACCCCCTAACCAATGTCTCTATAACCTGGGTGGTGGGCACAGCTCCAAGGTGGTCCACGATGACCCACACCCTCATTTAACCCCGTCCTGCCCAGTGTGGGGGGACCTAGGAATGTGATGGCCCGTCACGTCCCTGATTAGATTACATTACATGAAACTACAAATTTTAAGGATTCATAATCTAATCAGGCCATGCCTGGTCTAATCCAGGAGTCCTTAAAAGAGGCAGCCCTCTTCCTGGTGAAAAGCACTTGAAGCACCAGACAGACGCCACAAGAAACATTGTCCACTGCTGCCCGTGAACATGGAAGGGCCATGTGTCAGGGAATGCAGGCAGCCTGTAGGGACAGCAAGAGGTCAGGGGCCTTAACCCCAGCTGCAGGGAACCGAATTCCACCACAGCCACCTGAGCCTGGAGAAGGAGCCCCCGCTCCAGATGGGACCCGGCCCTGGCCCACACTGTGACCGCAGCCAGGGGAGGCCCTGAGTGGAGAGCAGCCTACGCTGTGCCGGGACCCCCGAGGCCTGCAGACCACGGGGTCACACACAGGTGCTGGGAGTCCCGCAGGGTTGGTGCTGCACAGCAACAGAAGCCCAGGTTCCTCAGTCATCCCTGTGGTCTGTCCATCACTGCCACAGGGACGGTCCTTAGTGGGCAGCAGTAGGGACTCACCAAAGCTCATCCTGGGGCTCTGGGCCAACATCTTTAAATGTGACCAGGATGCAAAGGCCTGCGCCCCAACACACACGTGCATGCACATACACACTCACACGTACACATTCTTCCTAAAGGGATAAACAGGTAGGCAGCTTTTGGAAACATGGCCAAATTGTCGAAAGATCATAAAACCAATTATACATACTTTGAAAAGCAAAGTTCTATTTGGTTTGCAATGTTAAAAATGCAACATTTCAATAAAAGTCAGTAACACAGGAAATCTAGCATTTTGGGGACCTCCCCGTGCTCACGCTGTGTCCACCTGAGTCTAGCATCTGGCCCACCCTGCCCTATAGCGGGGCAGATGCCCCGTCTTGGGTGCCCTACAGACACCGCCCACCCATGGCCCATTTCCTCAGTGGCCCGGCTGGCTGGCCCATTGCTGGGAAAGTCTCCTGGGCCCTGAGAGACCTGAGAAAGAGGCCCGGCCACTGCGGCCTTCCATCAAGAGCTTATTAAGGGAACTTACATAAAAGGTGTATACCTGGCTGTGGGAAAACAGATACCCTCTCGGAAGAGGGGCACGAGTTAAAGTAAAGGGTCACCTTCTGCCCCGGGGAAGGGGACGTGCCCTAAGTGCTTGCCCCACACAGGGTCTGGTCCAGGAAGCAGTGGCCTGGGGCACAGGGCAGGGCTGCTCTGTCTGCGAACAGACTTTGGGCAAAGTCTCTGCTCCAGGCCCTTTGAGCTGCACAGCAGTCACCACACGGGACGGCCTCCTCTCCATCCCTCCCCTCTGGGCAGCAGGCTGGACCTCTGCCCTGTCACCTGTCCCTGCAGCCCTGAGGCTCTCCCCAGGACAGCTCTCCTTGTGCCTTCATTACCGGTGAGTCATTCTCTGCCCTGCCTAACTTCCTTATTCCTGCCAAAGCACCTCCCTTCCCCATGTTCCCAGGTGCCAAGCCCTCCTTTCCCACCTAGGACCCTGCTTACCCACCTGCATTGTCTGAGAGCTTCAGCAGAGTCACCACCTTGGACTGGTGCACGTTCAGGAAGGGGCCGAAAAGGGGCTCAGCAAGGGGTCAGAACTGATCTGACTCAGAAACGCACCACTTGTCTTCCACTCCTTTCCACCATGTGGTCCCCGCCCACCAGGGTGTCTCCGCCCACTGGGGCCACACCTTACGGTAGCTTTGGAATCGCTGCTATCCCTCTGATCCCTCCTTAGCATCCACTGTGCGCCTGAATGTGTGCTGTGTAACCTTCCTAAGCTCTTCTGTCCCCTGCTAAGCAGACCTGCCACCTCCCCGTGGTCCTCAAGGGCGTGTAGACTCCTCTCCTTCCTGGATCAGCTGTCTGAGGCTGTCAGTCTTCCTTCCTCACCCTTCACTGTGTGGGGGGTGGGCTACACAGTCCTTCACAAACAGTCACTGTCATCGCCGCCCTTCCTGCCCCAGAATTTACAAGCAAATGTGACTGGCACCATGGCCTGGCCATCACAAGGGCACTCGGCTGGTTCCACCTCCGTCCGGGCCCAGGACCTGCACAGGTGGCAGAGCCTGAGCCCAGGCACAGAGAGGACCAGTGTGTGGCACCCACTGTGGAGGCAGAACATCCCCGCTGGCAGCAGGCAGGGCCCAGACCCCCTGATGGCCAAGAGACGCTCCGGAAGCTGAGATCCGGCAGTTGCGAGTTAGGCTGTAACAGCTGACATGCTGTTTTCCATTCTAATTAGACGGTCAGACACCGACATCTCTGACCATCCCACCGGCGCTCAGCCATCACTCCAGGTGACGGGGGAATCAAATGAAGGGAAATACTAGTTTCAAGTAATAGTGAATAAGCTCAGTAATCAACGTAAGTAAAAGGCTGTTCTCTTGGGAACTGGAGGTAGGACCCGCCCTGACTCCAGGAGACTTTAAGTAGTTCCACCCTGTGCCTCAGGAGGGCTGCCTGCCCGCCCTCAGGGTAGGATCTGAGCCTTCGTGCTCCAGGATGGGCTGACCTCGCCCAGGACACAGATAAACACCGACCCCCCAGGGCACAGGAGAGAATGCTGCAGCTTTGATCTGATTGACCTTTTCCGAACTCCAATGCCCTTACCTACACTTTCCCTGCCCTCATCCAAAGGGTTGGTTTGACACGAATTTAAGATGGTTCTGTCAGGGTACAAACCTGCCGTCTTCTCAGATCCCCGTCATCTGAATAAAGGGCCCGTAAAGGTTCAATCCTGGCCTCTGCCTGTTAGGTCTGGTAGTTCATGGGCGGCATGAACACTGGCTTTTCCCGTCTCACAGGCACAGGAGAGAGACTTCAGCCCAGGTCCCCGAACAGCCGGCCTCAGGGTCTGAGTCCATTCGAGGCCGGCCTGGGAGCACATGAGAGCCCCTCGTGGAGAAGCCCCCAAGACTCAGCACCTCACACCACCTGGGGTCTCCCCACATTGTGCCCTTTTCCAGGAGGCGCTGGAGTTCGGTGGATCGAGTCCTTCCCAGGCTCCTCCTAGGCAAAAGCAGTGCCTTGCCCCGTGGGGAACCGGGAGACCGGGAGACCAGGAGACAGAACACAGGGCTCGAAGCCAAGGAAATGTGACTGATTAGCTGTATGATTAAGAAATTGCATTTGATTGGCTGTATGGTTT